TTGGCTGTCTCTAACTCCGCCTTGGACACTCGGTTCGACCTACAGGCCACTCGGATTAGCGTAGTTCTTCGCCTAACCTTCCCCATACTCACCCATCATATGTGCATTTGCAGGAGGGCGTCAACTGATCAGCTTGAGATAGATGATCTCGTCCGTCATGCCTCGGAAGGGAAGTATGCCAGAAGCGAAGAGGTCAATGATATCATCAAGAGAAGTCTCGCCACAGCCCGTTGCCCAGCAGAATGGGAACCTTAGGTGCTGAGGCCTGACGGAAGCCAAGAGCGTCCAGACTCACCATACAACACTGGAAGGATAGTAAGCAGATTGCATGGCACTACACCTGTGTGTCAACGTTGGCTGACACCAACTTACCATACTCTGAAGCTGAAAGGGGTGGCGCTGCCAGTTTCAGGGAGGCCCACAAGATCAACAAATACAGAGGGCAGCCACCATGCTGTAACTTCGTCCGGGCAGGGTCGGAGACCCTTGGATCATAGGACAATGTGCTCTCAGATTCCTTAAAGAGTTGGGTGACAAAGTCACCTTGAAAACCAAGAACTCCAGAGCGGCCAGCTTCCTTTTTCAGTGTTGCGATCAAGAGAGGAAATGCTTGCAATATCATGGATGAAGTATTTGAGATGTAGGCTCTTCTTCCCATTGCACTTATTTTTAACATGTTTTGTTTTTAAATAAAACTGACAAACACAGAATGTAGAGCGTGATGATAAGCAATGAAAATACTCGAACAACTCTGGGACGGAACTTGAGTTTTCCTTCTCTGATGCTGTGGGTCCCCAGTCACTTCCAGAGATGGTGCCTCCCTGTATGATATATATATATATATATATATATATATATTATATATATATATATATATATGTGTGTGTGTGTGTGTGTGTGTGTACACACAAAAATTTATTCCTCACATAAATACAGCTGTGTAGGACAAAAATGATGCAACCTGCACTGTATCAAGATGAAATATTTGCAAAGCTGTTGCTCATCCTGCTGTTAAAGCCTTACTGTCGTGTTGCTGGCACCTCCTGAGAGCACTGTGTTCCGGTGTTCAATTACTGCCGCAAAATTACTTCATACGTGCCACCCATTGCTGAGTTTGCGTCGTTACATGTGTGGTTCTTGAGTTGAGGGGAGTGAGGAATGTGAGGTCTAGGTGTTAGGTCAATGAACAAGTGGAAGATATGGTCACTGTATACAAAATACGCGGGGTTACAGGAAGGTAACCTGTAGTCGTTTGCAAGGGGTCACCGCTCCTGCGGTCTAGTCCCAGACCAGACCCCCTCCCCCGGTTACTCGTCTGATTGACCAGGCTGGTAGTACCCACCTCCTTCAGTCCAACGTATACGTAACAACCCAGCTGATCAGGAAGTGATTGGAGGAACTTATCAGTTTCCCCCTTGAAGACAACTAGAGTCTTGTTGGTCATTTCCCTCAAGTATACAGGGAAGGTGTTGAAAAGTCCAGGTCCCCTTTCATTTACTAAGCTCCCTCTTAAAGTACTTATCACGCCCCTACTTTGCATTACAGGTACTTTGCGACGTGTGCCGAGCCTCCTGCTTTCATAGGGAGTAATTTCTAGGAAGGAAAATATACCCTCACAAGGGAGGCACCCAGAATGATACACAGGGAGTATTTCTTCAGGGCAAGAGTCATGAAGGAGTGACATGAGCTAGCAAGAGTCATGAAGGATTGACATGAGCTAGCAAGAGTCATGAAGGAGTGACATGAGCTAGCAAGAGTCATGAAGGAGTGACATGAGCTAGCAAGAGTCATGAAGGAGTGGCATGAGCTAGCAAGAGTCATGAAGGAGTGACATGAGCTAGAGAATACCACTGAAGCTTGCTCTATGCTGGGCATCAGAAAATAGATAAGAGAGAGAGGTGTTTCCCCTGATTCGCACCGCAGCTAGGATAGGGGAACAAGAACTGGAGCTCAACCGTCAAACTCGCCTGCAAAATAGTTAACTAGTTACACACACACACACACACACACACACACACTGAGCTTAACCACATATAACAAGGCAGCGAAGAATAGGAGAGAGAAAGAGTCAGAGAGAGAGAGAGGAGAGAGAGAGAGAGAGGAGAGAGAGAGAGAGAGAGAGAGAGAGAGAGAGAGAGAGAGAGAGAGAGAGAGAGAGAGAGAGAGAGAGAGAGAACAGAGTAAGAGAATTCAAAAGAAAAACAGATTCACAGAGAGACAGAGAGAGATAGCAAGAGATTAAAAGTTAAGAGAAAGCAGGAGAGAAACAAAGTAAGAGAAAGCAGGAGAAAGCGAATGGCGAGAATGAGAATAATCAAATAAACTTAACTGCCCAAACAATGTAATAAAGAGACGTAACAAGGAAGAACAGCTAACACTGATGAATGAAGGAACAGGAACACGGGTGAATGAAGGCACAGGAACACGGGTGAATGAAGGAACAGGAACACGGGTGAATGAAGGAACAGGAACACGGGTGAATGAAGGAACAGGAACACGGATGAATGAAGAAACAGGAACACGGGTGAATGAAGGCACAGGAACACGGGTGAATGAAGGAACAGGAACACGGGTGGATGAAGGAACAGGAACACGGGTGAATGAAGGAACAGGAACACGGGTGAATGAAGGAACAGGAACATGGGTGAATGAAGGAGCAGGAACACGGGTGGATGAAGGAACAGGAACACGGGTGAATGAAGGCACAGGAACACGGGTGAATTAAGGAACAGGAACACAGGGCGAATGAAGGCACAGGAACACGGGTGAATGAAGGAACAGGAACACGGGTGAATGAAGGAACAGGAACACGGGTGAATGAAGGAAACAGGAACACGGATGAATGAAGAAACAGGAACACGGGTGAATGAAGGCACAGGAACACGGGTGAATGAAGGAACAGGAACACGGGTGGATGAAGGAACAGGAACACGGGTGAATGAAGGAACAGGAACACGGGTGAATGAAGGAACAGGAACATGGGTGAATGAAGGAGCAGGAACACGGGTGGATGAAGGAACAGGAACACGGGTGAATGAAGGCACAGGAACACGGGTGAATTAAGGAACAGGAACACGGGTGAATGAAGGCACAGGAACACGGGTGAATGAAGGAACAGGAACACGGGTGAATGAAGGAACAGGAACACGGGTGAATGAAGGAACAGGAACACGGGTGAATGAAGGAACAGGAACACGGATGAATGAAGAAACAGGAACACGGGTGAATGAAGGCACAGGAACACGGGTGAATGAAGGAACAGGAACACGGGTGGATGAAGGAACAGGAACACGGGTGAATGAAGGAACAGGAACACGGGTGAATGAAGGAACAGGAACACGGATGAATGAAGAAACAGGAACACGGGTGAATGAAGGCACAGGAACACGGGTGAATGAAGGAACAGGAACACGGGTGGATGAAGGAACAGGAACACGGGTGAATGAAGGAACAGGAACACGAGTGAATGAAGGAACAGGAACACGGATGAATGAAGAAACAGGAACACGGGTGAATGAAGGCACAGGAACACGGGTGAATGAAGGAACGGGAACACGGGTGAATGAAGGCACTGGAACACGGGTGAATGAAGGAACAGGAACACGGGTGAATGAAGGAACAGGAACACGGGTGAATGAAGGCACTGGAACACGGGTGAATGAAGGAACGGGAACACGGGTGAATGAAGGAACAGGAACACGGGTGAATGAAGGAACAGGAACACGGATGAATGAAGAAACAGGAACACGGGTGAATGAAGGCACAGGAACACGGGTGAATGAAGGAGCAGGAACACGGGTGGATGAAGGAACAGGAACACGGGTGAATGAAGGAACAGGAACACGGGTGAATGAAGGAACAGGAACACGGATGAATGAAAAAACAGGAACGCGGGTGAATGAAGGAACAGGAACACGGGTGAATGAAGGAACGGGAACACGGGTGAATGAAGGCACAGGAACACGGGTGAATGAAGGAAACAGGAACACGGGTGAATGAAGGAACAGGAACACGGGTGGATGAAGGAACAGGAACACGGGTGAATGAAGGAACAGGAACACGGGTGAATGAAGGAACAGGAACACGGATGAATGAAGAAACAGGAACACGGGTGAATGAAGGCACAGGAACACGGGTGAATGAAGGAACAGGAACACGGGTGGATGAAGGAACAGGAACACGGGTGAATGAAGGAACAGGAACACGAGTGAATGAAGGAACAGGAACACGGATGAATGAAGAAACAGGAACACGGGTGAATGAAGGCACAGGAACACGGGTGAATGAAGGAACGGGAACACGGGTGAATGAAGGCACTGGAACACGGGTGAATGAAGGAACAGGAACACGGGTGAATGAAGGAACAGGAACACGGGTGAATGAAGGCACTGGAACAACGGGTGAATGAAGGAACGGGAACACGGGTGAATGAAGGAACAGGAACACGGGTGAATGAAGGAACAGGAACACGGATGAATGAAGAAACAGGAACACGGGTGAATGAAGGCACAGGAACACGGGTGAATGAAGGAGCAGGAACACGGGTGGATGAAGGAACAGGAACACGGGTGAATGAAGGAACAGGAACACGGGTGAATGAAGGAACAGGAACACGGATGAATGAAAAAACAGGAACGCGGGTGAATGAAGGAACAGGAACACGGGTGAATGAAGGAACGGGAACACGGGTGAATGAAGGCACAGGAACACGGGTGAATGAAGGAACAGGAACACGGGTGAATGAAGGCACAGGAACACGGGTGAATGAAGGAACGGGAACACGGGTGAATGAAGGAACAGGAACACGGGTGAATGAAGGAACAGGAACACGGGTGAATGAAGGAACGGGAACACGGGTGAATGGAGGAACAGGAACACGGGTGAATGAAGGAACAGGAACACGGATGAATGAAGAAATAGGAACACGGGTGAATGAAGAAACAGGAACACGGGTGAATGAAGGAGCAGGAACACGGGTGGATGAAGGAACAGGAACACGGGTGAATGAAGGAACAGGAACACGGGTGAATGAAGGAACAGGAACACGGATGAATGAAGAAACAGGAACGCGGGTGAATGAAGGAACAGGAACACGGGCGAATGAAGGAACAGGAAAACGGGTGAATGAAGGAACAGGAAAACGGGTGGATGAAGGAACAGGAACACGGGTCGATGAAGGAACAGGAACACGGGTGAATAAAGGAACAGGAACACGGGTGAATGAATGAACAGGAACACGGGTGAATGAAGGAACAGGAACACGGGTGAATGAAGGAACAGGAACACGGGTGAATGAAGGAACAGGAACACGGGTGAATGAAGGAACAGGAACACGGGTGAATGAAGGAACAGGAACACGGATGAATGAAGAAACAGGAACGCGGGTGAATGAAGGAACAGGAACACGGGTGAATGAAGGAACAGGAAAAAGGGTGGATGAAGGAACAGGAACACGGGTGGATGAAGGAACAGGAACACGGGTGAATGAAGGAACAGGAACACGGGTGAATGAATGAACAGGAACACGGGTGAATGAAGGAACAGGAACACGGGTGAATGAAGGAACAGGAACACGGGTGGATGAAGGAACAGGAACACGGGTGAATGAAGGAACAGGAACACGGGTGAATGAAGGAACAGGAACACGGAAGAATGAAGAAACAGGAACACGGGTGAATGAAGGCACAGGAACACGGGTGAATGAAGGAACAGGAACACGGGTGGATGAAGGAACAGGAACACGGGTGAATGAAGGAACAGGAACACGGGTGAATGAAGGAACAGGAACACGGATGAATGAAGAAACAGGAACGCGGGTGAATGAAGGAACAGGAACACGGGTGAATGAAGGCACAGGAACACGGGTGAATGAAGGAACGGGAACACGGGTGAATGAAGGAACAGGAACAGGGGTGAATGAAGGCACAGGAACACGGGTGAATGAAGGAACAGGAACACGGGTGAATGAAGGAACAGGAACACGGATGAATGAAGAAACAGGAACACGGGTGAATGAAGGAACAGGAACACGGGTGAATGAAGGAGCAGGAACACGGGTGGATGAAGGAACAGGAACACGGGTAAATGAAGGAACAGGAACACGGGTGAATGAAGGAACAGGAACACGGATGAATGAAGAAACAGGAACGCAGGTGAATGAAGGAACAGGAACACGGGTGAATGAAGGAACAGAAAAACGGGTGAATGAAGGAACAGGAAAACGGGTGGATGAAGGAACAGGAACACGGGTGGATGAAACGGGTGAATGAAGGAACAGGAACGCGGGCGAATGAAGGAACAGGAACACAAGTGAATGAAGGAACAGGAACACGGATGAATAAAGGAACAGGAACACGGATGAATGAGACAACAACAGCTAACCCGGGTGAATGAAGGAACAGGAACACGGGAGAATGAAGGAACAGGAACACGGATGAATGAAGGAACAAGAACACGGATGAATGAAGGAATAGGAAAACGGGTGAATGAAGGAACAGGAACATGGGTGAATGGAGCAACAGTAACACGGGTGAATGAAGCAACAGGAACACGGGTGAATTAAGGAACAGGAACACGGGTGAATGAAGGAACAGGAGCGCGGATGAATAAAGTAACAGGAACGCGGATGGATGAAGGATCAGAAACACGGATGAATGAAGTAACAGAAACACGGATGAATGAAGGAGCAGGAACACGGGTGAATGAAGGAACAGGAACACGGGTGAGTGAAGGAACAGAAACACGGATGAATGAAGGAGCAGGTGTAGACAGCCTGTACTGTCTGCACAGACAGCCCATGCTGTCTGCCAGCTTAGTTCATATTTTGCGCCATGCTGGTGCTGCCACCTATAGGCCTTGCCACTTCAGTATACCCAGACTTGCCTCACCCTCACTCACACAGCGGCCTAGCAGGAAGACACAAGGCCTCCCAGCTCTCTCTCGTGGGATGGCCCTGCCCGGGGCATGGGCTCAAACACACAAGCCTGTGTACCCACCACGACATTAACAATAAAGTAAGAAGCCTCCGAAGAAGACGTCTATAATTCACACCCCGCTTGCAGCACCTACCAAACAAATTCCTCGTTATACAGGACACGGATGAATGAAGGAGCAGGAACACGGATGAATGAAGGAACAGAAACACGGATGAATGAAGGAGCAGGAACACGGATGAAGGAACAGAAACACGGATGAATGAAGGAGCAGGAACACGGATGAATGAAGGAACAGAAACACGGATGAATGAAGGAGCAGGAACACGGATGAATGAAGGAGCAGGAACACGGATGAATGAAGGAACAGAAACACGGATGAATGAAGGAGCAGGAACACGGATGAATGAAGGAACAGAAACACGGATGAATGAAGGAGCAGGAACACGGATGAATGAAGGAACAGAAACACGGATGAATGAAGGAGCAGGAACACGGATGAATGAAGGAGCAGGAACACGGATGAATGAAGGAACAGAAACACGGATGAATGAAGGAGCAGGAACACGGATTGAATGAAGGAACAGAAACACGGATGAATGAAGGAGCAGGAAACACGGATGAAGGAACAGAAACACGGATGAATGAAGGAGCAGGAACACGGATGAAGGAACAGAAACACGGATGAATGAAGGAACAGAAACACGGATGAATGAAGGAGCAGGAACACGGATGAATGAAGGAACAGAAACACGGATGAATGAAGGAGCAGGAACACGGATGAAGGAACAGAAACACGGATGAATGAAGGAACAGAAACACGGATGAATGAAGGAGCAGGAACACGGATGAAGGAACAGAAACACGGATGAATGAAGGAGCAGGAACACGGATGAATGAAGGAGCAGGAACCGGATGAATGAAGGAGCAGGAAACACGGATGAAGGAATAGAAACACGGATGAATGAAGGAGCAGGAACACGGATGAAGGAACAGAAACACGGATGAATGAAGGAGCAGGAACACGGATGAATGAAGGAGCAGGAAACGGATGAATGAAGGAACAGAAACACGGATGAATGAAGGAGCAGGAACACGGATGAAGGAACAGAAACACGGATGAATGAAGGAGCAGGAACACGGATGAATGAAGGAGCAGGAACACGGATGAATGAAGGAGCAGGAACACGGATGAATGAAGGAGCAGGAACACGGATGAATGAAGGAGCAGGAACACGGATGAATGAAGGAACAGAAACACGGATGAATGAAGGAGCAGGAACACGGATGAATGAAGGAGCAGGAACACGGATGAATGAAGGAGCAGGAACGCGGATGAATGAAGGAACAGAAACACGGATGAATGAAGGAGCAGGACACGGATGAATGAAGGAACAGAAACACGGATGAATGAAGGAGCAGGAACACGGATGAAGGAACAGAAACACGATGAATGAAGGAGCAGGAACACGGATGAATGAAGGAACAGAAACACGATGAATGAAGGAGCAGGAACACGGATGAATGAAGGAACAGAAACACGGATGAATGAAGGAGCAGGAACACGGATGAATGAAGGAGCAGGAACACGGATGAATGAAGGAGCAGGAACACGGATGAATGAAGGAGCAGGAACACGGATGAATGAAGGAGCAGGAACACGGATGAATGAAGGAGCAGGAACACGGATGAATGAAGGAGCAGGAACACGGATGAATGAAGGAGCAGGAACACGGATGAATGAAGGAACAGAAACACGGATGAATGAAGGAGCAGGAACACGGATGAATGAAGGAGCAGGAACACGGATGAATGAAGGAGCAGGAACGCGGAATGAATGAAGGAACAGAAACACGGATGAATGAAGGAGCAGGAACACGGATGAATGAAGGAACAGAAACACGGATGAATGAAGGAGCAGGAACACGGATGAAGGAACAGAAAACACGGATGAATGAAGGAGCAGGAACACGGATGAATGAAGGAACAGAAACACGGATGAATGAAGGAGCAGGAACACGGATGAATGAAGGAACAGAAACACGGATGAATGAAGGAGCAGGAACACGGATGAATGAAGGAGCAGGAACACGGATGAATGAAGGAGCAGGAACACGGATGAATGAAGGAGCAGGAACACGGATGAATGAAGGAGCAGGAACACGGATGAATGAAGGAGCAGGAACACGGATGAATGAAGGAGCAGGAACACGGATGAATGAAGGAGCAGGAACACGGATGAATGAAGGAGCAGGAACACGGATGAATGAAGGAGCAGGAACACGGATGAATGAAAGATTCTTACAAGTTTATTGAAAGTGAATGAAATAGAAGGTTGCCAGAAAGATTATGAATTTTGATGGAAATGTTATCCCTTCTTTCTCCCCTTCTCTCCCTTCCTCCCCTCTTCCCTCTTCTCCTCCTCCCTCCC